AAAAAAAGTAAAACAAAAAAAAAAAAAAAAAAAAAAAAAAAAAAAAAATGCACAACTGTTGCATAACCACAATTTGGGGGGGAAAAAAATCTAAAAATATCTAAAAGTACATATGTTAATTTTTGCGGTCAGAGCTTGCTAATGCCTCAGTGACAGATTCATCCTCACTTCCAGTGTATGTGGGGGTTTTCTTAACACAGTCAAACTGCTTCCTCTGTTTATTTGTGGTTAGGCTAATCAAGGCCAAACTTCTGGAAAATTCTGAAGTCCATCAGTTAAGATTCTTATTTTCTCCCTTGCTCTTACTTTCCTGGAAGACTCGGATGTACAGGTCTACTCATTCTTGAATGTGAAACAGCATAGTTTCAATTAGGGCTGGGCAATTTGCCAAAAAAATAAAATCTAGATTTTTTCAGAATGTTTGACCGATTCTCGATTTTTTTACGATTTTAACTAGTCAACTTAAAAATGTAACTACAACATGATTCAAATAACTTTTTCTTTATTAACCCTCTAGTTAAGGAAAATTCTATTCCAAGTGCACCACACATGAAGTTGTCAACATGATGTAAATGTTAAACAAATCACTTATTAAATATCTTTGCAGAAAAGATGCATGAACTACGACTACATGCTGTACAAACTTGTCTTATACATGTTATATGTTCAGAAATAATAGGCTACAATGAAAATGCTTAAAAAAATTCTCAACAGTCAATGTAATTCAAATTCAAAATGACTGACTTTATACATAGAATCCAAAAATTGTACATTTGTAAACTGCACACTTGTACATATATATATACATTATATATATATATATATTTATTTATTTACATTCATTTAAACACGTTTCTCTATATTTCTAGTTCTGTACATAGTGCATTATTTATTTTCTGTTTTTCTTATATTAGTGTTACACTCCATCTCTACTGTGTTATTCCTATGTCTGCTGCACTAGTTTGTGCAATTCTCTGACATATTGACACCAAACTTTGCACATGTTGTTAACCACACCACATAATTTTTGTAACTAATACCATATATTGGTCAAAAGTGACAAACCATTCAAATCACCACTTATTTATTTTCAAGTTTGCTGCATTCTACTTAAAATCATATAATAATATGATTTCAATCGCTCATTGGAAACGGAGCGTAAATGTGGAAGTCCTTCAAAGATTTCTTATCCGGTTGCGCCCTCTAGGACTAGCGACTAGTCGACGTCAAGCTTAAAGCGTCATGGCAGAGCATTGAAGTCGACTAGTCGGTGCAACCCCTAGTGTGTAAACATACTTGGTAATAAAGCTCTTTCTGACTTCTGATGGTATAACACCAGTAGACTATTAATAATAAATGTTCTGTGAAAACAATGAACAGCAGCTTTCAGCCACCATGATGCAAACATGAAATATCAGACATACAGTAGTAGTTCCAATCTCTGGTAGTTCTTTACAGGTTTTTTTATTCGATTGCGCTGCTTTTCCATTGTTTTTTCTATGTAAACATGAATGCGTTTGACTGTTGCACTCACGTCTCTTGCAGCGTCTCATACATTAAAACGGCATTTTAAAAACACGGCGCTCAAGTTAAGAGAATTTCAACTCCCATCTTCTTGCATGTTTTTCCTATTCCTCTGCACGCGTCGCATCTTTATCAACACAAAAGCGCATTCTGTGTAAATGGCGCCTCACGATATGAGCGCGTCACAGGTGAGCAGTTAATCGCATGCGCCGACATGTGGTTGGATCGTTCTTTTCTCTTTACTGTTACTACTGGCATATTGTCGTGTGTAGTTCTGACGTTTGGTAATATTTCTATTCAAAATCGCGTTTCCTCGAACTCAAAAAAATAAAATCGTGGCAAAACATTAAATTCGAATTAATCGATAAAATCGGAAAAACAGCCCTATAACAAAGCTAAAAGAAATGTAAAAATAGAAGAAATTAACAAAAACAATTAAATATCCAATATCAATTGGTAACGGTAAAAAATGGCATAGAATTAAATAAAACAAAATAAAATAAATAATAAAATATACATATATTTTTCATCCCTAAAATAAATGTATTAAACAAACAGGACAAGCACATTCTTCTGTAGTTTGAATTTTGCCATAAGAGACTATGGCTAAATTCAAACTACAGAAGAATGTGCTTCAATCAAGACCGGTATGAATTTCTCAAATACTATGAGAAATTCAAAACCGAAGAAAACTATGAAAGATTTGAGTATCTGGAATATAGTCTTTAAAAAAATTCATTTTGGTACTTATTTAAAATTTGAATAGCAGCTGATGCTCAAGGAAACAATGAGGCATGAGTTTTATCTAGGAGCCATGCTTTTGTTAACTACACTGCCCCTTTATCCATTAGACTACCACCAAACCTCATTTGAGTTATACTGGATTGCAAAATTTCCATTTGGGTCAAAAACTTTGAAACCAAATGAAATAAGGACACGGTACCTCCGAGGCTGGCATGGAAGCTTTCTCTGGCACAGAGTAAAAGTTTCTGACTGGCTTATAAATTATGGAACAATCATCTGAGACAACCCAAACATTCCTGACATTGTAATTTCCTGAGGAGAGGAGTGTCTTATCAGTCTCAGACATGATTCCAGGCTCATCGCCCCAGACACTGATGCAACAAACCCACAAAATTATGCCTGAGCGGAAAGATAAACAGGCATCAGCGAGGTAGAACAAATAAGCTATATGGACAACAGAAAGCCTACATTCAATGGAATAAATACTCATAATGCTATTTTAGGATGACTCGAATCCTCAGTCCAACTCTATTGGAATGCTTGTCATTTGGATGATCCAGATGGTGAAACTTATCCATAGAGATGAATCCGATGCAATGCAACCAATACTCCAGTACCTTGTTTGTTACTTTCCTCTCCTCAGCACTAAACTGTCATTACCATAATGATTCTCTTGAAGAATGTCTCAGCTAGTCAGGGTCACAGTATCATTACATAATCCTTTGCAGCACAGCAGCTTTCACACTACAAGATTATGCTAATGGGCTTATAGCTACATCTGGACCCCAGGCTAAACACAGCCGCGAGCATAAAACAAACCTAATCTGCAAAACAATAAATGCGTGCTGAATAATCTTCCCTCGATTACTCAAGTTAATTGGAAGATACAGCGCAAAGGATGTGTGCGTAAAAGCTGATACACAGCATTTTAGCAAACCACTTCGAGAGCTCGACATTATAGAAGATTGTGGTTAATTATTGATATGGATTGAATAATTAAGTGGGCAAGCGAGCTGCAGCTAGATACCTTTTTGTCCTTGGTGACATCTTCCTCTTTCTTGGCCACATCCAGGTCAGTGACTCCGCGATTGAACTCGTCCATTGTGCTGTCGGGGAGGGGAAGCTCCTCTGCATCAATGTCTGTCTCATCTGCAGCTGGCTTTTCGGCCCCTGTGAGCTCCCGCCCTTTGAAGAGAAACAATTCATCTTGCTAAATATTTATTATAGAGATGGAAAACATGATATAGGGATTAATGGAAAAATTAATTGAAAAAAAAATAAAATAAGCATGAGACTTTTTATAGGTTTTTGCCATCATGCATTGTTTAAAGGGACTAACTTTCTGTTGGTGTTGCTTTTATTCACACACAGGTAAATACACAAATGGATTTATTCTGACCAAACATTGATGTTGACTGTTAATTGTGGATCCCCTGTGGGACAGTGGTGTTACTGATATGGGGCCTCATGTATGTTTTGACCACACCTTCACTCGGTCTGTACAGCAGGTCTGTATTTCTGGAAATGGATAGTTGACATGACATGGCAAGCAGTGACAGCCGTGTCCTGTGGTGTGACATGCTATACTACATGTAAAACTATTCTGAACAACATTCTTGTACTGTAATTATATATCATGCATTGGATTTATTACATTAATTGAGGGACTAAATGGAATATTTATATTTTGAAAAATTAAATGTCACACTGTAATAAATTGCAAAAAAAAAAATTAAGATAAACAAATTATATATATATATACAGTGGGTACGGAAAGTATTCAGACCCTTCTTGATTTCTTATTTTTTTGCATAATTAAAATCAATCAATAACTTTATTGTCATTAAATTCAAATACAATTTGGAGGAATTATAGTTATTTTAGGGTGACAGTTTAACCCAGATCATAAACTCTGTATTGTGTTACTGAACATAACACGAGAGTTAAAAAAGGAAATAGATTGAGGTCAGAGGCATTTACTCTACACTTAAACACATGTACAGTAATGGGACACACAGTCCTTCACAGATTGTCTCTATTTCCACTGGCTAAAAGGTAATTCTGGAGCAGGAAAAAAAATTGTTTGCATCTGGCAAGATGCAAAAAAAAAAAATCATATTCCTATGTAGAGTATATTTCAAATTGACCTAGACATTTTATTTCCCCCATTTGTCTAATATCAAATTTTAACTAATATCATGTGAATATATAAGTGAATTTATATTAATTAAATTATATACTTGGTAATTAGGTTACTTGACATGGCAAAAAGATGCTAAAATATGTTTAAATCTCCAACCACTTTATTTTTCTCTTGCACATCTACAATAAGTTAAAATCGATAAAAAAACGTTGACTTTGATTTTTTTATTTTTTTTTGTAACTTCGCTGCATCAAAAACTTATCTTGCTGGCATAAATACACTCAGCAACTTTATATTAAGTGGACTACTATGTACTTACATTCAAATTAATCATTTGGTACAATGCACTTATTGTGTACATACTGTACATCTTTTTACTAGGGCTGTCCTCGACTAAGGATTTTTCTGGTCGACTAGTAGTTGTTCATTTTAAGCATTAGTCGACTAATCGCACGCTTATTAATAAACCATTTAAATCATTATTACGAGCCTTTAATTGCCTACGTAGCCTAACATGCGCTCAAGCGCACGAATAAAGCTTGCCACAGCGCACCGGCAGAAGTAATGGTTATGAATGTGTCAGTGAAAAACAGTAAGGAGACTGCATTAAGATTTTGATAATTTTATAAACTAGTGCTTTCTTTGTTTTCGGTTTAAGAGATGAAGTCGGCGACATTGACTCGTCATCCCCGCAGTACTGCTGCGCCTGTATGCATGTTTCAGACGGATTACATAATCTGAGAATATTTGTTTTACATTTAAATTGTTTCATTTGAAAGTAGACATTTCACTCTCTATAGATATATTTTTCATGTACGTAAGGTAAAGATATACACGGAGTTTCACGTCCGTAGTTCACAGAGAATGAGACGGCAGAAAGTGCATCCTGTTTGCTTTCATTATTTCACAAAAGCGCGATTTGTTTTTATTGTGAGTGCACACAAATAAACTTACGAGTCTTTACAGATTTGAAAGATGTATTACTCTTATCTGTATGAGCAAAAATGACCAGTATTTTAAGAGCAAGTGAGCGCACCGCCACTGTTCAGTTTCCACACTCCGCATAGACACTGAATAGCGCACATCTCTCTTGGTTAACATTAGATTGAGCGGCCATGTAAAGTTGCTAATACTTACATATTTCAGATGATAAGCCATATTTGAGGTCGATGAATGATAGGTGAGTGTTTAGATGTCCTGCCGGATGTACTGTATTACCACATAGACCAGCCGTTAACAATCTGTCCATCACAAACTTCGTGACTTCGCCTGTGGAATTTGTTGTATTCTTATTTTTTACCGCGACTAAGCAACTAATAAAATGTTGGTCAACCAAGCCTCTTCTGGTCGACTAACGATTAGTCGACTATTAGGGGGCAGCCCTAGTTTTTACATTGTATTTTTATTTTTAAAAATACCGGCATGTAACTACATCTGTAATTAGTTTCTATAACTACATTTATAATTACAGTGTTGACCCATGCCTTACAACTTAAACCAGCCTTAAACCTACCCATACTGTACCACCAAACCTGTCCCTAACCTTACCTGTATCCAACTCAACAGCAGGAAAAGTGTCTTGCAATACAATAAGAACACAATAAGTACATTGCACTTATTTTTTGATGCAAGTACATAGTAGTTAAGGCTACCTAATATAAAGTGGGACCAACATTTTTTTTTTAAACTTCATAAACATAGGCTATAAAGCACTATACTTATTTGTTGGCAGGTTTTACAGCAATTTAAGCAGTTACGTGGTTGTTTGGCTCTGAAGTGTCAGCTCTCAGACCGGTTTGCTGTTTCCCTATGGAAAGGGGTTATTAAGGTCTCCCTGTCCTACCACTGGGACAGCAGTGGAGCTGTTAAACATAGTGAGTCCCATCCATGTGACACTGCAGCGTGTTGGTGCTGGGGAATCCTGTGCGGATTAGATGCAGCGCGTGGGTGAATGAGAGCTCATTTGCATTTGAAAAGAAAACCTGTCCAGAGGGAGCTGTGGGAGGATGATCAGCCTGAACCCCTGGCCCATGCACTATGAGATCTGCCCCTCAGACACAAGCAATCATAGGTGCTGTTCCATGCCGCCTATCAAAGCTCCCAGCTCACAAAGACTTCCTCTAATGCACTGCGCTGGATTGCACCAAAATACCTCGAACAACCGCATGGATTTTCCCTTTGCTAAATCAAAGAGTCAGGGATCAGCAAGAACATCACTCATCTGTAATCCTATCACACCAAGTTCAAGGGGCACAAACAGACAATCAATTAAAGGGAGTCTGAAGAATAAAAACCTGTTGTGAAAGATGACTACACTGACTTCAAGTATGACAAAGAAGTGGAAAGAAAAGAGGATACAGTTCATTAAAATACCTGTTACTCCAGAATCTGTGCATGTCTTGTCAGTGTCACCATCTTCCTGGCCATCTGCGTTTTGCTGGGTGTGTTGCAGGCTAAGTTTATGACAGACCTCAAAAGCCTGACCCACCGTCCGCACTACCCGCATGGCTTGGCTCTACAGAGAAATGAAAGAGAGCTTAGTATTATTAAAGCACTGAAATCAAAGTACCTGGTGGAAACAAAAATTCTGGAAGTCAAAAACTGAAAATGCTAATATTTATCATACAGAATTAATAACAAAAGGACATTTATTAGAAAATAAAAGTGGGCGAGTGTGTACATTACACATTCTGGGCATGCATTTCTTCTGCATATTCTTTAAAGGTGTCATATGATGTTGCTAAAAAGAACAGTATTTTGTGTATTTGGTGTAATGAAATGCGTTTATGCGGTTTAAGGTTAAAAAAACATTATTTTCCACTAATGTACATTATTGTTTCTCCTCTATGCCCCGCCTTCTGAAACGCGTCGATTTTTACAAAGCTCATCGGTCTGAAAAAGCGAGGTGTGCTGTGATTGGCCAGCTATCCAGTGTGTTGTGATTGGCCGAATACCTCAAGCGTGAGACGGAAATGTTATGCCCCTTGCCATATTGTGAAGAGAAAGGAAAAATTGAAAACGCATCATATGACCCCTTTAAATCCAGCATAACACTATTTCCTTTCAAAATAAATCAATAAGCAAATAAATAAATACAACAAGCAAATAAGCAAATACATAAAAATGTATGCAAATAAATATGTAAATAAATACAGATGCAAATGCATAAGCAAATAACTAAGCAAAAGAATGAATGAATGAGCAAATTAATAAATAAAGGATATCTATCTATTGACAGACAGACAGATATATATTGCATATATGTATGTATGTTATAGACAGACAGATGGACAGATTGTGTATATATAGAATACATAGTGTATATGCTACAGACAGACAGACAGAAAGACAGTGTATAAGCAAATAATGAATAAATAAATAACTAAACATGAATGAATTAATGAATGAATGAATGAATGTGAAAATGAATAAATAAAGGATATATAGATAGACAGAGACAGACAGACAGATATAGTGTAAATATGGCATATATACAGTAGTGTCTATATTCTACAGACAGACGGTTTATAATGTATAATACAGACAGACAGGCGGACAGACGGACAGACAGACAGACAGACAGACAGACAGACACAGACAGACATCAAGTAAATAAAAAGACATGTTGCTGAAAAAGTAAATATTCTACAGGTTTCAAGAGCAAAGCCCTGCATCTCAATGGTGTGTGGATCTTTTTAGCAACTGAAAGTTATAGTCAAAATCTGACACTAACAGAGGTCATTAACAAGGCTCTGAAGTCTCAATTCAGTCAGGGAACAAAAACAAAGGGACTCAAACAAAAGAGAAATTCTTTGATATACCTGTTCATTTGATTAATCATGACAGCTTTTGTTTCCCTTCCCACACTTTTAATTTCAGAAGGTATGCTATTAGCCAGCAAATGTGGAAAACAGGAATGCAGCCAACCATGTAAGAAATCAAAAGACACTAGGAACTTCAAAGTTTAACAAAAATTTAAATCTGATATTAAAACTTAATAATGCTCTAAAGCTTTGAGTGTTAGATGTTTTTACATACCATAGTTTGCACAAAAGCAATGCAGTAACATCATATATAAATGGTATGGAAAGAAAACATCAGAAAGAAACTGATGGAAATTTGTCAATTAACTTTCAGTTTTCCATAAAATAAGTCTCTAATCCGAGTGCCAATTTCTGTAAATTGTTAGTTGTGATGCAGTAACATCATATATAAATGGTATGGAAAGAAATGTAATTGGAAACTGATGGAAATTTGTCAATTAACTTTCAGTTTTCCATAAAATAAGTCTCTAATCCGAGTGCCAATTTCTGTAAATTGTTAGTTGTGACAATCCATTAAGTGTTAAAATATAATTCAAGCTGCATTTCAACACTGGATACAACCGTCGGTCTACAGACTCCATAAGACACTGCACAAAAATGACCTATTTCACAAAATGCTGAAGATCAGTTATCAGTATTTTGATAGATGGCAAAAAATTAAATGACAACATCATTTCAGCTAAAATGTTTGAGTCTGTATACAGTAAAAGGTGAAATTATCATTGCAGATCTATTTGCAGTTTATTGAGAGCACACTTGAGCAATTGATGTACAATTACCCAGAGCAGGTCTGAATTGCTCAGTCTGTCTATGGACAGTGATGCCGGGGTGAAATGAGCCAGACGGAGCTTTCAACTCAAATGAGCGAGTTCTTTCTAAAGAATCTTTGTTAAATAAAGAATACTTTTTTTATGGATTGCCTTTCGCCACGGCCAAACATTGCATGGCTGTACAATCTATAGCTATTGACGAGCCACATTTTTTTATGATGAGAGAAACATGGGTAATATTGAGTCCATGTGTCAGGCTTTCATAATAACTGTTCTCTATGCTACATAGTTTTTAATATTGTGGCAATCTCATTACAGTGTGCTCATTTTGTATGCTATTTGCAATTTAAAATCTAAAGAAGAATGAGGCATGAAACAAAAAGTCAGATTATAGATGACTGGAAAGCTGTATTCAGATTAGTGTCTGCTATGTCTCCTGCAGCCTTTCATGTGAAAGGCCTGCTCAGACTTACAAAAACAATACACTGACTAGTTTCAGTGGAAAAATATGATCTTGATTTGCATTTAGGTCTTAACTTTACTAATTTTCTGATGCATAAATCAGGTACAAGGCACACTTTAAAAATGTTCGTTAATTCAACATAAAAAAATAAAAATAAAAATGCTACCATAAAAACCTGTTAATTAATAAGTAACCATACCATCTGTGGTAGTTTTTATTTTCTCTCAGCTGTGCAAAAAATCATTGTAAAAATTCATGGTGAAAACCGGTATATGGTTTAACAATGCATTTTATGTCATTTTACAATTACACACTGTCATTGTTTTTTTTATGGTAATTAATGGGTTTTCAATGTTTTTGAAAATATAAAAACAAACTACTATATAAATGTATGGTAAAAAATAGAAAAAGAACATTCAGATGTCTCTTTGAAACACATTATGCATTAATATATTTTCTTTAAAATAATGCAAAAAACATTAACTTAATATTAGAAAAAGCCATAACACTTTACAATAAGGTTCCATTTAACTAAATTACTAACTTATAAAAATATTTCTAAAGGATTTATTAATCCAAGATAATGCTTATTCCAACATTTACTAATTCAATATTAAAAAAATTGTATCTATTAATGTTATTCACCTGAGCTAACATGAACTAACAATGAACAATTGTATTTTAATTAACCAACGTTAACAAAGCTAAATCAATACTGTAACAATGTATTGCTCATTGTTAATGTAAGTCAATGCATTAAATATAGTTAAAAAATGGCACCTTATTTTATAGTCTTACCAAAAAATGTAACACAAAACACTAATACATTACTGACAAAAATAAAATTAGGAATAAACAAAACTGTTTAGTATCATGCGTGTTACCCTGATGATGTTTTGTCTTGGTAGGAGTGACCCTATGCATCCACTTGTATTATTATGGTGATTATCAGTACATTTTAAGGTAAAACAGAGTTTCTGCCATCCTGTAATACTTGAAACATTGTCACTATTTTTACGGTGAATTTCTCGAGGAGCTGCCTTTTTTTTTTTTACTGTAAATTTAACAGGATTTCTTTTTTACAGTGATTGAGAGAGAGGAAAACTACCGCAGATGATGTGGTGACTTATCCCTCTGGGGTCTGAGGGGGTTTTGGGGCCCTGGAGAAGTTTTGACATGCCCTGACATTTGTGCTTTTTTTCAGTTGCTTATAAACATATTAATGACTAAAGTCTAATAACAGGGCTGCAGTCATACTGTATTTGTCCAATACAGTACCCATATGCCTATGCCTATTATATTTGACATCTTGTATTCTCACATACACTTCTTGTACAGTCTGTTCTTAAGTCCTTAGCACTCGGAGATCCTTGTGTATACAAACTCCTGTGATTATGTGATGTGATGTATCAGTGACAACTACCGCCTAGCATGAATTTCTCTCTATATTTATAGATTGTGTAGGCACCAGTTCTGGAGAGGAAAAAAATAATTATTTTCCCTCTGAAAAATCTTATTTTGATTCTCGTGACATTGTAGATTAATTGCCAATATTAAAAATAAATATTTAAACCAGTCAAGCAGACAATTCAGATGTCAAATCCTTCTCAGAGGTGTTGGGCGTCTTTAAACAGTTATTTAGCTTTCATATTTGCCTCTGATTCAAATCCAGTGCAGAAGCATGAAAGGGATCAGAATTCGACAGCTTTAAGAACTAAAAGCATGCCCTGTCTGTATATCATCTACATGCGCCGCTGCTGGATCATTGTACTGCTCTGCATGCTAGACTGACTGAGAAGAAAAATATAGCCATTCTGAAAAGTGCACTTCAGTTTCATGGCCAAGGGCTGCTGTTCCCTTTTTTCTGATGGTTTTTTTCAACTATATGCCCTGAAGTAAAATGAAACAAGTGTACTGAAGAGGGAAAGAACTGTCAGTAGCCTTCATTCGCTTGGAGCTTCAATGACAGGATTCTATTGTCAAAGGAAAACCATCAGCACTCAATGTCCTGACTAGAAGACACACTCAAGAGACGCCTACCTTTTTCTTTGATTTGAAGACGTTACATCGAAACACATTGCTCTGTCCATCTCTTGCTATGTAACTGAAGATCTTCAGATCTTGAGAGTCGTGTGATACGTAGAATATCCTGTAAAAAAAAAATGTAATTAACATGTGCAGTACTGTCATGGACAGTAGATTCAGTTGGAGTAAACAGGAGAAAAGTATTACAGGAACATTTCTGGTACGTTAAAAGCGTTTATTCCTGCATTTGCGTCATGTTTCTTGTTATATTTTGGTCCAAACCACCACAGTACACCCTTTTATCAGGAATCCGTTAATGTTGTGTTTAGAAATGACCTTTGGCTATGTATTTTTGTTGGGCATCTAAACAAAAATGCAACACTTGTTGCATGAAGTGTAGCAAACAAAGCAACATGAGTCAATGAAGCACATTCAGTTCTATTGTGACTCTGTGTGAGTGCATTTACCCCAAAGCAAACAAGACTTGTAGCAAGGAACAAGTAATGCAGATCAGAGTGTAAAACACTACATAAACCAAAAGATAAATAATTGACACCGTGCAAATCCAGATCAATTTCCTCCACAACAGAGTAGAGGATTTTCTTCAGATCTTCATAAAATGACAATGCAGCTGTCACAAGGCACTGAGGAAAATCCTGAGCAGAAACCTTGTTGAATAAGATGAATAAAATGCATCTATGTCAATTGCAACAACTTTCATCAGACCTCACAGAGAACCTTAAACTGCCAAAGAAATGATAGACAAATAGCTAGATTGCTAGACAACATGACACATTCCTTAAGAAAAAGCAAGCTGGTTTGGTGCGTGCTGGCTTGGCAGGGGTACTTTGTATTTTGCTATTCACTAAACCTTGACAGACAAAAAAAAAAAAAAAGAAAAAAAAAAAAAAAAAGAAACATCTTAGATTGTTTCAGTGGGTTTGTCAGAGAGTGAATAACTGGCAGCAGGAAGCAGAAATGCCTAAAACGACATTCAAATCACCACACTACGGATATGAAAGAAACATAACAGTACCCAGAGACTCTTCATTCTCTCTAATTACAAAGAATCATTTGTGCAGTCATAACTACCGAACAATTAGAGCTGAGAATGTGACTTCTATGAAGCTGCAAAGTCATCACACAGATTGGAAGGTCATGTATCATACAATATCTGTAAAGCAGCTAGACAGATGTTGCATATGAAAACAGTGTGCATACTTCTGTATATACAATACACTTCTTAAATGGACATGTGTGGTAATTTGAAACGTCTGATATTATAAATGATGAATTTTACTTTAATTAGCACAGTACCTTTAATCAACAAAACAATAAATGGAACACAACAAAATCAAACAAAAACTGATCATCAGGCTGAAATTTACATAGCCATGATATAACCAATAGCTCAACTGAATAGATGTGTTTCTAAAACTTGACACTGCATCTTAAAAACATAATTCTCATTGAAACGATAAAAATCACAGATGTGTGAGACAGTGTCCAAAAACACTCAGATGCTTGTGTGTGTGTACACAGTTCTGCAGATAGATCATCAGAAAGTGGAAAAACGAGCACGTTTTTTTCATTTTGCTTTTTTACTTGGTAAATGGAAAATGACATAGTTTTCATAGTACATGATACCAGTTAAATTGACCCCAAACATAATATAGAATAGGAATGTGCAATATTGAAGAAAAATGCAATATGCGATACCTGGTTAAATAATGCGATATTCGATATGCCATACAATATCAATTTAAATTATATTTACAAATATTCAAAAACTGAAAATTATATAACCAACCACTGTGTATGTGTTTCACATTCTTTCTTGAAATAGAAAGCATTACTACAACTTCTGAAAGTGACCAGCAGTGTTATAGCATTACATTAAAAGTGATGTCTCAAATCTGTAAATGTAAATAAACAAAATAATGCCACTTATTTTATATCAGTGTAACGTTGTTTTCCATTTATTATTTAAAGTACACTTTAAGAACTTCTTTAATACCACAGCAAAAACGACTAGCCTAAGAAAGTTCAAACATGATTAAAGGCAAGTGAACAGTCAGTAAATAAGAACAAATACACAAATGACAACCACAGATAAATACAACAGTTACAAATAAAATAAGGGCTAACAGCAGTATTCAGGTACAGAAAAGTAAGAATTAAGGGTAATATACACTATAAGCACTATATTGCAGGGTCAAACAGAAAAAAATGGTAAGGCAAATGTATAATTGTAATTTCATCACCATCATTGATATCAGTATTTCCCAATTATCTGTGAATATATCAGCCATGATATACATCACACACCTCTAATTATCTGAGACATTAGAAATCAAATACTATATTGATCTCGCCACTGAAGAGCAAGAGCAGGTTGACCTTTTGTGATTAAGGCCTGACAGTGAGGAAATCTGTATCTAAAGCTCACAAACATTCCGGAGCTATTGTTGTATTAGCCTGGGAAATATTTGTTTACGATCACTAGTCTTCATTTGGACCAGTGCAGACTTGATATGTATCCAACACTCAGACTACTCAGAATGTCAGCATGTTACATGTCAGAGCTTGCCGATAGAAGATTGCAGTGATGCTAAAGGGATCGAATACACACTGTAGGGAAGATGTACCTAAACACCAGTCCGCTCAGGGGTACATTCTGATACACAGTGCTGGACAGATGGTGAAGAGAAAACCCACTCATTAATTGAATTTTCCTCGTTGCTGTTGACACTTCAGGGAGACATGCCACGTCAGTGATTTGCACAGATGACACATGCTGTTTAAGAGCTTTTTTCCCCCCCGTCACTTTAATTCATCAAGTCTGAAAGCAAAAAAGGAGCTGAAATATCTGCTGAGTATATGTAATGCACACCACTCCGCCCATTATCATAGAAAGAGAGTGATTTTACTCCACAACCATTACGTAGCCTTATTCAACGGGTTGCTCTGCTTGAGAAATGTCTGATTAAGAATATAATGAGCATATCTACTAGAAGGCAAAGTGCTGCTTTGCTCATTTCTGAGATATATAAGATGCCAATGACTAAGTAATGCTATTTCTATATTCTAAGCAAGCGTGCCCATTTAACACAAACAGAATAGGCTAAAGTGATGATACATTAGCATTAAGATCTCAAAGCATTCACCCGGATTTAATAAAAAAAATCAATAGAGATGACTTTTAGGGATGCCTGGCTTAGCTAAAATGTGTTTTGCAAGGTCCCTGAAATAAGTCATATACAGGACATTGCACACTTGTATTTTTTTTCAGGTATTATTACTTATACTTACAGTGAACCTAAGAAGCCTATTAAACTGGCATGCAACAAGTTCTGTACAGTTTATGTTACAGACATAAAATGTATACAATTATACCATAAATTATACCTCAAATTGTTGGATGATTAAATATAAGGGCTGTCATTTTAGCATGTTAATTTAATTAATTAGTTACGGAAAAATAACGCTATTAAATTTTTTAATTCAATCAATACACTTGCCCCGCCCCAGACCTGAACGTTACATTTCATACAGTTGACTGTATGATGACATGATGGAGGGCAACAACAATGTAGCCTGTAAAATGCACTTATAAATATTCCCATAAAATGTAAGATATTGGGGCAAAAAATGCCCCTGTTTGAGTTTTCATCTTGTATTTACATCATATGACAAGCGATATCACACGAGTGTTGTTTTTGTCCCGAATAGCATCAATGCAAATGTGATTTTATACAACAGTTCAGTAAATAAGAAGTTGTGTTTTAGATGGGCTACAACATTGCCTGTTTTTGTTCAATTTTGTCAATGAAAATATTACCTATAAAGCCACAACTGTTGTGCATCTACGAACAACACATCGGTGATTCGTTTCTGAATGAATCGGGTGAACCAATGAATCAATGGCCCGCTCAATGAATCAGGAGTTTGAAGGAATTGAATGAATGAATGAGTCAATGACTTAAAGACATTTACCGCCACCAACTGGCAGTTTTAGTTTCTTATTTAGAGTTTTATATCATTAAATAATAAAATAAAAAATAAAAATAAAGTGATAGCTCACTCAAAAAGAAAAATTCTGTCAACATTCACTCACCCTCAAACTGTATCACTTATCGTACTTTCTTTTATGGAACTTAAAAGAAAATAGGGTTGTGACAGTGAGGAAATTTTCACCGATAATACCTCACCGATAATTTTCCCCACTTTGCAATTGCAATTTGACAAAGCAATTGTTCGTTTGAGTTTTCCCTATTTTCCTCACTTTCCTTCACTTTTAAATAGCTTAAAAGCACAGTGCGCATTTTACTTTCATTTTCGAATTAGCAGCAATTCGGCAAATTCAAGCAACAACAAAATACCACGTCAAAGTCACTTGTATATAAAAGCCTATATATAAAATCATAGAACTTTTATTAACAAAATGAATAAAAATACACCACGCTATAGGCTATGCCTAAAATAAAATAACAAATAACGTACAGAAATTTTAAATAGGTAGGCTATACAAAACTGAAAATAAGCAAACATTGTGGAACCAAATAAATAAGAAACGTAGAACGTTTATTAGCAAAACGAATAAGAAAGCTTGGAGGCACGGCATGCACCTTGATGTCAAATAAAATAAATAAATTACACAAAGTTTAAATCAAGTAAAAATCAATTACAATTTTTCTCAATCGATTTGACACTTTTCTCAAATGCAATGTACTTGTTCTCAAAACAATTAGCACAGCCATCCAAACACAAAATCTTAACCAAACAGTTCAATTTTACTGCAAAATGAAGCACTGCAATTTTTTCTAGTAATGCATTTAATTAAAAGTAAATATTAACATCAAATCTATTGGTGTGTTCTCTATTGATTATAAAACACATTCAGCTGTAGATGCACAAATATGCTAATGAAAATACATGTTTATTGCAATTCTTCAACAGGGAGTTTTGTTTTACATGCATTGTGTATATATTGAGAAAAAAAATTATTGCCCCTTTAAACTTAAAATCTGTTTGTGCCACCTTTAGCAGCAAGAACTGCAAACAAACTTTTCTGATAACTACAGATCAGTCTTATTAAGGGTACACCTGAAAGAGAATTTCATT